GCCCTGCCTCTCTGCCCCCCGGCGCCTCTTCTCTGCCCCCTGGCACTGCCTCTGTGCCCCCCGGCGCCTCTTCTCTGCCCCCTGGCGCTGCCTCTGTGCCCCCCGGCGCCTCTTCTCTGCCCCCTGGCGCTGCCTCTGTGCCCCCCGGCGCCTCTTCTCTGCCCCCTGGCGCTGCCTCTGTGCCCCCCGGCGCCTCTTCTCTGCCCCCTGGCGCTGCCTCTGTGCCCCCCGGCGCCTCTTCTCTGCCCCCTGGCGCTGCCTCTGTGCCCCCCGGCGCCTCTTCTCTGCCCCCTGGCGCTGCCTCTGTGCCCCCCGGCGCCTCTTCTCTGCCCCCTGGCGCTGCCTCTGTGCCCCCCGGCGCCTCTTCTCTGCCCCCTGGCGCTGCCTCTGTGCCCCCCGGCGCCTCTTCTCTGCCCCCTGGCGCTGCCTCTGTGCCCCCCGGCGCCTCTTCTCTGCCCCCTGGCGCTGCCTCTGTGCCCCCCGGCGCCTCTTCTCTGCCCCCTGGCGCTGCCTCTGTGCCCCCCGGCGCCTCTTCTCTGCCCCCTGGCGCTGCCTCTGTGCCCCCCGGCGCCTCTTCTCTGCCCCCTGGCGCTGCCTCTGTGCCCCCCGGCGCCTCTTCTCTGCCCCCTGGCGCTGCCTCTGTGCCCCCCGGCGCCTCTTCTCTGCCCCCTGGCGCTGCCTCTGTGCCCCCCGGCGCCTCTTCTCTGCCCCCTGGCGCTGCCTCTGTGCCCCCCGGCGCCTCTTCTCTGCCCCCTGGCGCTGCCTCTGTGCCCCCCGGCGCCTCTTCTCTGCCCCCTGGCGCTGCCTCTGTGCCCCCCGGCGCCTCTTCTCTGCCCCCTGGCGCTGCCTCTGTGCCCCCCGGCGCCTCTTCTCTGCCCCCTGGCGCTGCCTCTGTGCCCCCCGGCGCCTCTTCTCTGCCCCCTGGCGCTGCCTCTGTGCCCCCCGGCGCCTCTTCTCTGCCCCCTGGCGCTGCCTCTGTGCCCCCCGGCGCCTCTTCTCTGCCCCCTGGCGCTGCCTCTGTGCCCCCCGGCGCCTCTTCTCTGCCCCCTGGCGCTGCCTCTGTGCCCCCCGGCGCCTCTTCTCTGCCCCCTGGCGCTGCCTCTGTGCCCCCCGGCGCCTCTTCTCTGCCCCCTGGCGCTGCCTCTGTGCCCCCCGGCGCCTCTTCTCTGCCCCCTGGCGCTGCCTCTGTGCCCCCCGGCGCCTCTTCTCTGCCCCCTGGCGCTGCCTCTGTGCCCCCCGGCGCCTCTTCTCTGCCCCCTGGCGCTGCCTCTGTGCCCCCCGGCGCCTCTTCTCTGCCCCCTGGCGCTGCCTCTGTGCCCCCCGGCGCCTCTTCTCTGCCCCCTGGCGCTGCCTCTGTGCCCCCCGGCGCCTCTTCTCTGCCCCCTGGCGCTGCCTCTGTGCCCCCCGGCGCCTCTTCTCTGCCCCCTGGCGCTGCAGGCCAGGCTTGGGGGAGGAGCCGATTGTAGGCGATCTACTGTCCTAGAGCTGAGGTTGCTTTTAGTTTGGGGTACGATGGTCCAGGGCCTTCCTGGCCACAGGACAGTTCTGTACCCCCCTCTGGGGCTGCCAGAGTCTGTCCCTGCCACCTTGCTGTCCCAGGCTGTCTGGGAGGAATCCTGGGGGGGTGGCCACGGAGCTGGTTTACTGTGGTGCCAGTGGGGCCAGGTTTACACTGGGGCCCTAGGGAGTGGCGGGTTCTGTGCGGGGGGAGAGGCTGGGCAGGGAGGGGATGGAGGGTTTGGGGGTGTTGGGGCCCTAG